TGCAGCGGGAGGGTCAATTCTGAGTGAGACAACAGGCAAGGTCTCACTAAGAACGTGGCATTAAATAAAGATTTGAGGACGTGAGGGAGCAAACCTTGCAGCTATCTAAAAGACCAGCATGAGAGGTAGAGGAGACAGCTCTCTACCCGACCTGGTACAAAGATCCTGAAGCAGGGGCAAGGCTAATGAGTTCTAGAATTAGCAAGGAGTCCAGTGTAACTTGAACAGAGTGATCAAAGAACAGAACAGGAGGAAATGAGGTCAGAGAGGTAAACAGGCTGGAGTGCAGTGGCACGGTCTCGGCTCACTGCAACCTCCGTCTCCCGGGTTCAAGGGATTCTCCTGCCTCAGTCTCCCTAGTAGCTGGGATTACAGGCACGCGCCACCATGCCCAGCTAATTTTTGTATTTTTAGTGGAGACAGGTTTCCCCATGTTGGCCAGGCTGGTCTCGAACTCCTGACCTCAAGTGATCCACCCGCCTCGGCCTCCCAAAGTGCTGGGATTACAGGCGTGAGCCACTGCTCCCGGCCGGGATTCTTTTAATCAAGTGTGATGCAGCCATCGGGGTTGGAGCATTCTAGGAAGAGGGAACAGCAGCATCTGCCAAGGCAACAGGAAAGCACATAAAAAAGAGTTGCTGGAAGATTCATTTCAACCCACAACCAAGTAGATATTAAATTTACGTTATAAAAATGTTAGGGCCAGGAGCGGTGGCTCACACCTGTAAACCTGGCACTTTGAGAGGCCTGTTAGTTTTTGTATTTTTAGTAGAGATAGGGTTTTGCCCTTTGGTCAGGCTGGTCTCAAACTCCTGGGTTCAACCGATCCTCCCGCTTGGCCTCTCAAAGTGCCAGGTTTACAGGCGTGAGCCACCGCTCCTGGCCCTAACATTTTTATAACGTAAATTTAATATCTACTTGGTTGTGGGTTGAAATGAATCTTCCAGCAACTCCTTTTTATGTGCTTTCCTGTTGCCTTGGCAGATGCTGTTCCCTCTTCCTAGAATACTCCAACCTTGATGGCTGCATCACACTTGATTAAAAGAATCCTGGCCGGGAGCAGTGGCTAACGCTGTGACTCCAGCACTTTCTGGGAGCTGGAGGCGGTGTGGATCAAACTTGAGGTCAGGAGTTCGAGACCAGCCTGGCCAACATGGGGAAACCTGTCTCTACTAAAAATACAAAAATTAGCCGGGGCATGGGGTGAGATTGTAAATTAAGTTCAACCGATTATAGAAAACGAGTTGGCAGATTCCTCAAGGATCTAGAACTAGAAGTACCATATGACCCAGCCATTCCCATTACTGGGTATATACCCAAACGATTATAAATCATGCTGCTATAAAGGACACATGCACACGTATGTTATGCGGGGCCTATTTCACAATAAGCAAAGACTTAGAATCAATCCCAAATGGTCCATCAGTGACAGACTGGATTAAGAAAATGTGGCACATATACACCATGGGATACTACTTGCAGCCATAAAAAAGGATGAGTTTGTGTCCTTTGTAGGGACATGGATGCAGCTGGAAACCCATCATTCTCAGCAAACTATGGCAAGAACAGAAAACCAAAAACACCGCATGTTCTCACTCATAGGTGGGAACTGGAACAATGAGATCACTTGGACTCGGGAAGGGGAACATCACACACCGGGCCTATCATGGGGGAGGGGGGACCGGGGAGGGATTGCATTGGGAGTTATACCTGATGTAAAGGACGAGTTGATGGGTGCTGACGAGTTGATGGGTGCAGCACACCAACATGGCACAAGTATTACATATGTAACAAACCTGCACGTTATGCACATGTACCCTAGAACTTAAAGTATAATAATAAAAAAAAAAAAAAAAAAAAAAAAGCTTAGCCGCGGCGTGGTGGCAGGCGCCTGTAATCCCAGCTTCTCGGGAAGCTGGGGCAGGAGAATTGCTTGAACCCGGGAGGCGGAGGTCGCGGTGAGCTGAGATCGCGCCCCTGCACTCCAGCCTGGGCGACAGAGAGAGACTTGGTCACGTTCCCTCCCCCGCCCCCGCCAATTTTAGGAATAAATACCTTTTTATTTAAGCTAAAGTGTGGGTACACCCTTCCTCTAGGATTTTCCATTAAGGAAGAAGAAGCCATATTAGGATAATTTAGAGGGCAGTTAACCCTAGTAGACATAGTGGTTCTTAAAGGCTTGGGGCCTCAGACTGTACACAGGCTTCACATGGAATCTGATTTGTTCCTTTATCCCGCTCCTTCACCCAGAACCCGAATCTAGCCCTTCATGTTATAAAAAAGGCCAGAGGTCCAAAGAGGGTAAGTACCTTGTGCAAAATGATTCAACTACTTTGTAGAGGATTTTAACTAGGGTTCATTTAGCTCCGCCCACACTATAAAAGGCTCTTTCTAAAAAACGAAACATGATCACGGGCACAAGGCTCCAGCGTTAACAAAGTTCTGTGCTAGCTGGGAAATGCCCCCCTCCCCGACTCATCTGCTTATCATCTGCATAGAGTTATGTACTCAAAAGCAGGAAAATTATTGAGAAAACCATTGGTCCCCGGCTCCAGACCCCAAGGTTGGGAGCTGGTTCACGTTTCCTCCCAGAGCCGGCAGGGGGGGCACCAGGCAAGGTTTGCAAGACGCGCCTCCCTCCCACCCCTCCCCCTTCCTCGCCTAACTTCCCATAGCCACGGCCTCAACTAAAAGTGGCCATTGACCTTTCAAGCTTTTGAGCAGTGATGCAATAGGATAGTATTTCAAAGAAAAATGCTTATCGAAATTTTGGATCCGGTTTTCCCGTGATTGTTAAGGGTTTCTTTTAAAAAGTAGGTCACATTTCAAGTAGGTCGTATTTCTGGGGCGGGTGCGCAGACAAGGAGATGAGTTTCCACTAAGGCGGGGTGGCTTCCAACGGGGTTGGAGGTGAGAATCCCAGGTGAGGTAGAGGCGCCGGGATCCTTCCGAATTCCCGGCCCGGGGGCGTCAGCCCTGCAGGGAATGGCAGAGGCACTCTCCGGACTGCCGGACTGCGGGAACCGAGGCCAGTCACCCAGCCCCTTCCGGGCGCGCAGGTAAGGCCGCCCCCTTAGCAGCCGGCGCAGGTGAGCGGGGCGGGCCGCCGGGTCTGCCGGAGACGTTGGAGCAGAGGGGAGGAGGAAGGGAGGAGTCGGGTGGATGCTGGTGACAAGGAGCCGGAGCGCCAGGGGGAGGGGACTAAGGACGGCCGGCACCGCTTAAGGAGGCGCTGCTCTCCCGCTCGCTGCCTTCCAGGACCTGATCAAGGGGACCGCCTCCGGTCCCCGGCCGTGGGCACCGGGCCGAGCACGGCGTCCCTACGCCATCAATGTGTCTTAGAGCCGGAGAGGCCCGTTTCTGAGGACCCACAGTCGCTCCTGCACCCCCACCCCCCGCAAATGTGCGGCCAGGAGGGTCGTGTCGAGGGGGCGCCGCCGGGATGTTTACAGGAACCCACCCCCGTGGCGGGCCCAGGGCCGAGGACCGCCATCCTTCCCTGAACCCAGGCGCTCAGCTGGCCCGGGTAGGGGGCAGGCTCCGGCAGCTGAAACGGGGTTGGCTGTGGCCGGTGGCGGGGGACATCTCCAGCTTGCGCCCGAGCACCCCAGGGTGTGGGGCCAGAAGCAGGCCGACCCCGGCGTGCACACCGTCCGCCTTGCACTCGAGCGCTCTCACCCGGTCTTCTCTGAAGCCTGTGTATTGCGACCGAGCCTCTTTAAAGCGGTAGCGGGGCCCGCGGTCACGTGAGGCCGATTCCTGGAAAGTTCCTGGAAAGCGGCCTCCGCAGCAGCCGGGCGGGGCGCGAGCGGAGCGCTTACTGGGAGGGAGGCGGGGAGCAAGGGAGGCGCGTCGGGCTGGAAAGTCGCGCGCACTCGCTGCTCCTGGGACCGACGTTTAACTCTTGCCAAGTCTCGTCGCCGCCGCCGCCGCGGCTGGCGGGCCTTGGGTTTCCCCTGAAGCATGAGCACTCTCGCCCGCAGCCGCCCTCACCGCGTGGCCCGCGGACAGTGCGCGCCGGGGCCCCGGGCGCACAGCCTCAGGATCCCCCGTGCCCGCAGCTCGGGCGCCCGCGGCAGGTACCGGTAGCAGGGAGAAGCCCGAAGGCTCCGCCCCAAGGAGAGTTGCAGGGGAGGGCGGCGAGGCGCGGCCGCGTGCGCCGAGGAGCGGCGGACGGCCTGGGCTTCCGCCGCTCGGAGCACCGGCGAAGAGAGAGTCCGAGCCGCGGCTCTGCCCCGCGGTCTGGCGTTGCTGCCTGCTTTCTCCGGTCCCTTCTCGGCGTCGGGAAGTGTCTGGAGTTTCTTTTTTTTATTTAACCTAAACTGCCATTCAAATTAATAATCCTCCTAATAACCTGATCTCCCGCTCCTCCCCACCGGCCTGCCTCCTGCCCTCGCTCCTTCCTCCCTCCCTCTCTCCTTCCCCACCTCCAGGGTCGCAGCCGGAGGGAAACCCGGCAGCAGTCCGAGGGTGGGGTGTCCCAGCCCCGAGGGGGCGTCGCCGCGCGGTGGGGGAGGGGGTCGAGGCAATGATCCTCGAGGCTTTTGTGAGCCCTCTGCGCACGGAACTCCGGCCGCCGCCTCCGAGCGCTGGGCTGGTCGCATCCCCGGGCATCTCGTTCCCAAATTAAACGTAAACGAGGGAAACGAGGGCAGACGCCCCTCCTCTCCTGGGCCCTTCCCGCCCCCCCCCACCCCGCCCCATGTCCGCTGAGGAGGCTGCCTGGTGCGGAGGCGGCGGCAGCCGAGGTCGAGGTAAGAGCGCGGCGTTGGAGGTTTGCACTTCCCGCAGCGCTCGCGACCGCCCGCTCGGCCCCGGCCTCGGCTAGGAGCCCCGCGAGGGCTGCGCGCTGGGGCCGATTCCTCGACAGCGCCCGCGGCGGCGAGAGCTACCGCAGCCATCCTGGTCCGGGAGCGACCGCCGCGGCGCCCCCAACCCCTCCAGAGCTGGCACCGGGAAGCGGGGGGAGGGGAGCGAGGAACCTCCCGGGTGGGGATGCAGCAGCTCCCGCACCTCAGCACCCGGGTTTGGTGCCTTAGGGCCCCGCAGCGCTTTAGGGTGGAGAACCAAGTTTGTGTGGGTGCTTCTTCCTGGGGGGCCCTCGGGCTGCGCCAGGTGTGAGACCGGAATGCCAATTTGGGGAATCTCTCCTGTTCTTTCCTTTTTAATTTTTTCTACTTGTCCTTGACAAGGGCCTATTCCCACTGGATCTGCAGGTGACTATTTGCTCTTCCAAGGTCGCCAGTCTTTGATTTCAGCTAGTGGCCCTGGGCGGGAAAACACCCTGTTCACCCTCATCCTGACCTCCGCCCCCTACCTCTTCAGCCAACTTTGTGTCTTGGATCTCTGCTGTCTTCATTCTTTCTCTAGAGCTGGGTCAGGGCGCTAACTGGAAGCTTGGGGTTAAATGGTGCAGGAACGTAGAGGCGGAGGAGTCCCTGGGATTTTCCACGTCCATTTCCCCACCCCCACCCCAGCCGCAGGGGTCCAGTTTGGACTGACCCAACCTCCCGCTTTCTCTTTGTAGGCGATCAGTGGGTGACCGCGTCTGCGAGGGACTTTGTCATCCGTCCTCCAGGACGTGGGGAGAAAAAGCCCCATCCCTTCCCTCTCTGCCACCATTTCGGACACCCCGCAGGGACTCGTTTTGGGATTCGCACTGACTTCAAGGAAGGACACGAGCCCTTCTCTGACCCCAGCTCGGGCGGCCACCTGTCTTTGCCGCGGTGACCTTTCCCCCATGACCCTGCGGTGCCTCGAGCCCTCCGGGAATGGCGGAGAAGGGACGCGGAGCCAGTGGGGGACCGCGGGGTCGGCGGAGGAGTCATCCCCGGAGGCGGCGCGTCTGGCGAAGGCCCTGCGGGAGCTGGGTCAGACAGGTAGGGAGCCGACCGGCCGCGACGCGTGCGGGAGGGGGCGCCTCCCCAAAGACGCAGCTAGGAAGAGGGGCCGAGGTGGGAAGCAAAGAATAAGCTGGAAATACGTCCCTTGCTTCCAAGGGACCGCGGAGAGCACGCTTGCAGGGTCCTGGGTCCTGGGTCCTGGGGAATGCGTAAGGAAAGTGGTTCTCCAGAGACTCAGGCCTGGCAGAGCGCGGGAAGGGCTTCTTGGAAGTAGCTTCTTAGCACGATGGAAGCTTTACTGTTTTACGCAGCTGCTCAGAGTTGGGCGTTCCGGCTCGAACCCCGGCTGGGGAAAGCGTCGGGCTCCTCCCTTTGCGCGGGGTGCAGTCAGCAAGTGGGTGCCGCGGGCCCCGCAGGCCCAGCAGCATCTGGCTCCCGGGCGGAGCTGCGGCTGCAGCCCAGGATCCTGGCGGCCAAGTTCAGGGACTGACACTGCCGCGAGGGCGGCTGCCCGGGCGTCTAGAGTAGGCTGCGAAGCCCCCGCCGAGCGCGGCTTCTAGGGTCGGCGTGCCCAGGAGACTGACGCTTTCAAGTACAGTCAGGCAATTTGCGCGGCACGCTATCTCTAGGCATCTGAAAAAAGAAAAAAAAAAAAAAAAAGTAAAGTATCTGGCAAATCATCCTGGCTTTCCAAGTCCGTATCCTAAAAGCTTACATTTGTGGCACAGTTAAAAATTTTGATAGCAACAGGGGGAGGGAGAGGGAAAAGTTCTCTCGCTCGCGATTCTGGGCTTTACGTGTGGGCCATGGGCTTTCCCTCCAGGGGAGGCACCGGCAGATTGCAAGTATCCTGGTAATTGTGGGGTTGGGGGGAGCACAAATGTTCAGACTTCTTAAATATGGACGGTCTTTGAGCCTCCTTAGAAAGCAGGGTGGGCCGGGGAGATGGTGCAGGCAGATGAAATCGAGAATGCAGGGGAGGCCGATGGTTGTGATTGGATTTGGATTAGGGCAAAGTTCAAAAGAGTTTAGGGAAGATTGTAAACCTGAAATAGTAATTATCACTGGGGACTTCCCATTTCTTAGTGACTAGTAAGGTAGTCATAAAGCAGCGAACAGAAGCTATTGTACTAGAGCTGTGTTTTTACAACCAGTACATAGCAGTGCTTTCTACATAGAAAGCTGTTCATTAGCAGGCTTTGCAGCCTTTTTTTTTTTTTTTTTTTTTTTTTTTGTGGTTAGGGGGACACCAACCATCCAAAAAAGTTGCTTCTGTTTTTACTGTAGTTCAATTACAGGAGTAGGGTTTTCCACTTTTTAAAGGGCATGGCTTTTATTTCTAACTTCTGATTTTTTTCTGATTTACTTAAATCTTTATTTTACTTAAATAATGTTCAAAGTGTCATGCTTCATCAGCCAGTGTGTCATGCTGAAAATGTTCTTTTGGTTCATTAGAAGAAAATCTTAAGAGCTTCAGAAAGTTAATTTTTTAAAAAAGAAAGAAAACTGGCTCACTGTGTTCATAAAATGTGCCCAAATTTTTATTCAATTCCTACTGAAAGTATTTGTGGTGGCCCCTGGTAAACTTTCACTCACACACCACCTTTTTTTAAGAGCTAAAAAAATTATTGCCAATTACTTGCTCTGTTCTAAAAATTCTTATAATAACTGTTTTACCCTCTTTTCTTTTTCTTTTTGAACAAAAACCCCAGGATGGTACTGGGGAAGTATGACTGTTAATGAAGCCAAAGAGAAATTAAAAGAGGCACCAGAAGGAACTTTCTTGATTAGAGATAGCTCACATTCAGACTACCTACTAACAATATCTGTTAAAACGTCAGCTGGACCAACTAATCTTCGAATCGAATACCAAGATGGAAAATTCAGATTGGACTCTATCATATGTGTCAAATCCAAGCTGAAACAATTTGACAGTGTGGTTCATCTGATCGACTACTACGTTCAGATGTGCAAGGATAAGCGGACAGGTCCAGAAGCCCCCCGGAACGGCACCGTTCACCTTTATCTGACCAACCCGCTCTACACGTCAGCACCATCTCTGCAGCATCTCTGTAGGCTCACCATTAACAAATGTACCGGTGCCATCTGGGGACTGCCTTTACCAACAAGACTAAAAGATTACTTGGAAGAATATAAATTCCAGGTATAAATGTTTCTCTTTTTTTAAACATGTCTCACATAGAGTATCTCCGAATGCAGCTATGTAAAAGAGAACCAAAACTTGAGAGCTCTGGATAACTATACGGAATACTTTCTAAGAACAGCTGAAGCTAATCTAATTTAAATGCTTGAAGAGGTAGCTAGGTGTTTAAAGTTCCTCCACATACTTTTACCTGAGTGATGCTTCCCTTCTTAAGGCTGACCAAGACCAGTTGATCCTTTTAGATTAAAAATAAAATGTCGCATGTAAAGGCTGAAGGCACGTTTTATCAGAATGGCTTGCCTTCTTAGGTTCCTTTCCATTATGTCAAAGGTCCAGGCTCCAGTAGGAGAGAAAGAACTCCTCATAGGAATACTGAAGAAGTGGGAGGAACCAAGCTGACGCAGGCCTCACTGCAATTTGATATGCCTGCTGATCAGAGTCTCTTTTGGGCATTTTATATTTTGCATTCTGATGTACCTAGGAGTTTTGTTAAACAGATTATGTGTGTGAGTTTCCCATTTTATGCAATTAACCAAATCAACCAAAAAAAAGTGACCATGAAGTCCTGTATTTGTCTTTTTACTACATGTATGAACTCTCATGTGAATGAGTACTGTAGTAATCCATTTTAAGGGAGCCTTATTTCAGAAATATTTCAAACTGGTGCAAATGGAAAAGACTTTCTCTTTTCCTTTAAGGCTAAAGACAAGAATGTCATGCTATACAGGTGCAACTCAATCCGTGTTAATAAAAACCAATGTAGGTATAGGCATTTTACCCTTTAAAATAGCTGTGTCCCAACCTGTTGCCATTGATTTTTTGGAAATGGCTTTAGAAATGTCCAAGTTGTCCTTGAATTGTCTAACCATGGACATAAACCGTTGTCTCCCTTCTACTGTGTAGAATACTTTGACTTAATTTTCTTCCAGATACAGGGGGATACCTGCCTGTTTTTCAAAGTGTTTATTTACTGCTGTTACTATTTGATTAGAATGTATTAAATAAAAAAAACCTGATTTCTACAAGTTGCACTTATTGAGTTCTAGAGAACGTACACTTTCATGGTAATAGAGGATTGCCATAAAAACTTATGTCAAGTGAAATAAGCCAAATATTCAACAAGAGGTAGAACATTACTTGCCCTTCTGTAAAGTTATGGGCTGTACCTGCCCCCTTTGCAATTTAGAAAGCATGGTTTAGAAACTACAGGAATTGCCAAGTGGCCTGGTCTTTTACAATTTGAATAGGCATAACACTGATGTCCTCTGTGTTTCCAAAAACATGGTTTAGAAGCTACAAACATCATGACATGGCCAGTCTTTTACAAGTTGAGTAGGCATAATACTAAAGAAAAATACAAAGTTTTATGGCCACTTGTTTTTTGCTATGTTAGTCTGCATAACTGTTATAAATGTACCATCTTTTCTAGAGTCCAGACACTATTCATTTTATGGCCTTTAAAATTTTCCTGCATAGCTACAATACTGTGGTGTGTCACCATAAAGGTGGACCCTGTGTGAATGAGAAAATTCAGTTCTAAATTATAATAAAACCTGCTTACTGCATATCTTACCTTATTTTCATGAAGAAGTTGAAAATGGTTTTGTGCCTGGCAGGAAACATACTATGTATATCCAAACAGCAGAGCCAAATACTAGGTGTACCTTAGGAAGAGTTTATTTGTGGCCTAAAACTTCAAGACAAGCTAGACATTTAGGGTCAGATCTATGATGGGGCCATAGCCGTTTCATTAGGATGCTCAGAATCTGTGCTTCATTCACCCTTTTTCTCCCACTGACAACATCTGTTTAGTGTTGGATGTTTGATTTTTCTGGCACAACTTCTATATGATCAGTGCCAAGGGGCTTTGTGGAATTTCTTTAAAGGTCTTTTGCATTTTTGTTGTCATTGTTTCGAACACTGTATTTCTCAGTTACTGGGAGCGGGGAGGCAGTTGTAGGGCATGCGTACCCGTGAAATTGGAAAAAGTTCTGAGTTACTGCTCACAAGTGACTAATTATGAGAAGGCTGGAGGACAGCACAAACATCTCTGGAGTGTGCCGTGAAACCTATTGCCTTATATTTTAATCTTCTGTATTGCAAGTAAGTTGATAAACATCAGGAGGCAATTATTTTTTTTATTTTCATTTTTTACGATGACTGACATCATTTATTGACTGAGTTGATTGTGAACCAGGTTCTTACTCAGCACTTGTATTATCTCATTTAATTTTCCCAAGAACAAAATGAGCAAAGTACAATGATGATAGGAGGTTCCCCTCCCGATTGGTGAGTCAAGAGGCCTTCTAGAAATATCCTAGCTCTTTTTTTTTTTTTTCCCGGGAGAGGAATTGGGAAGAGCAAATTGCTGCCGAAAATGTCTACATTGATCCAGACAAACAAGTTAGAGCAGGCTGAAAAGGAACCCTTGGTGTTTTTACTGCTGCTTCAACCAGATCAACTGGAAAAGTATAGATACCTTAATTAGCACTGTGCTCTGTAGGATTCTAGTCAGCCTGGCCCAGTGGTTTTTTCCCCCTCGAACATGCCTGAAAGGGAAGCTCATAATGCCTGCTGTGCAGGTGGGCGGGGAGGGGACTTCCTGTTTCACTCAGTGGCTGATCAATGCCAGTTACCAGTTATTGGTTGGCCCATTTTATACCTGGTGGAACAAAAAGTACACTTGTCTGAATTATCCTCAGCAAAGCCTGGAAAAATATCCAGTGTTTTCTCCCAATGCATGGCAATTTAGGGCTTTTGTGAGGACATTTATTATTGTTGTTGTTGAAGAATATGGTATACAGGATTTATATATCCCCAAACTCTGAAAATATTTTGACCTCAGTTTCTGTTCTGGGCAGAGATGAGGCAGTGCAGTTTTTCATGACCATTACAGTGAGCAGTGGTGATTGCTTTTTAAGGACTTGGAGATTTTTCGGAACTTTGGATAGTGGAGAAAAAGGCAGTGCAGCTTATGAGATGAGAGGTCTTTTTTGGTGTGTCGGTAAGAAAGTCTTGACTTCATAATAATTATGTAATCCAAATAGGTAACAGAATGGGACAGTTGTTTGGGAGTGTTTATTTTCTTGGGGAGGATTTTCTCTGCTTTTAGAAAATTGTACCCTGTTAGGATTGTAGGAGACGGAGACGTCATCTTCGTCAAATAATCCAAGGGATGGAATGTCCTGAGACCAGGCCGTGCCCTTCTCAGTTGTGAGTTTAGGCACAGGGTAGGTGGGGTTTGAGTGGCTGTGGTTACGTCTAACAGCTGGGCTGAAGTCTCTGTCTCTAAGTGGTCCTTCCTATCCTTTAGAGCAAAACAATATTGTCGTATGCCTTTCATTTACTTAAGAGGTGTTCTGTATTCTCCTTTTCCAGTTTTTTTAACTTCTTAGAATTTTAAAGCTTGAAACCACTTTTTAGATCACATATTATGGATTTTATGGAAGACTTTCGAATCCAGAGGGGCTGGGAGATTTGCACGCACACACACGCACACATGCACACAACCCAGCCAATCAATGACAGAGTCAGGATTCAAACACAGATATTTTAGTCTTAGGATTACTATTTGTAAAAGTTGCACGCTCCTACCCCTTGTTAAGATTGCCGAGACTCTTCTTTGCTTTCCTGCAAGCCCTACATTCTCTTAACATCATCTATTTCTTCTGCTGGGATTCGGAAACCAGGCCTGTGGAATACCGTGTGGGATAATTCCAGTTCTCGGCCTCCTCTACCCGATTCTGAAAAATCTGCCTCTGCTGGGTTTCATGTCTTGATCCACATTAGTTTTTTGTTAATTTTAACTCCTTAACATTTCTAATCTGTTTGCTGTTTTAAAATCCAAAACCTCCCATCCATGCTGTTTGATGATCTCATTTCTACCTCCGCCAGATGTGACTCACACCCAGCCACAATGCCCGGGCCACTGCCCACCCTCCCTTCCTTACCAGCAGGACCCATTCTTGCTTTTGCCTGCTCATGGGCATAAGGGCATAGTTAATTCCTGCCTTACTTTCTCCCTTTCCTATCATAAAGTTGCCCTGTTGACTCATCTAACACAGCCCTTCTGGCCGCATGATACTCCAGTGAAAGAGGATAATTATACTCTCCTTGAGTTAGGTAATTGAATGATTTGGACTACCTTAAGATTAAATCTCTTTGTATCTCTCTTTGGTTCCATTCAGGTTGTGAAGCAAGTAGCCAGCCCCAGATGCCACACTTTTGTTATGGGCATTTTTTTTTTAAATCCACTTATTTTTTAAGTATAGCAGGCCCCTTTTTCAGTGTTAAGTTAACCTTCATTTGCACGGAATAAAAATGCCCTCCATTGCTTTGCTTCTGCTATACGTCTATATGTAAGAATGATTCTGTGAGAGTTTTGCTTCATTTCTTCATATGCATGGTTCTTGTATTCTCATCTTCACATATTTTGATTTTTCTAACTTGTCCTCTGCGTGGCTTGAGTTCAGGTGACTTTATTACTAAGGTAATAAAGTTAACAACCGTTGTTAGAGTAGCCTCTAAAAGTCCTGGAGTCCCCAGTGTCTGAAGTCATGGAGCAGAGCTGGCTATTCCTATCTACACCTTCCTGAGCTTTGTCAGCAAAGGAGGCTGGATCAGCTAAGTGTGCCACAGAGAATAGGACTTACTTCAGTAAACATGTATCTATAAAGATGAAACGAACTGCTTTTACAGACAACTCTCACTTTGACCCACATCCTTAACTTACAGGCATTCTGACTTGCCTTAGATCAGGAGTGCATTTTGTGATGTATTATTCACATGGCTTTGCTTCTCTTAGAGAAAGGCTTGCCAGAGTCCCAGTGAGAGAAAAGGAAATATCGCCAGCTGCCTTCTCCTCCTGTCTCAGCATAAATGCCACCCAAGGAGCCCCCTTGTCATGGTGGGGTGAGGCTTTTTCGCCAGTTAAACCATCACAGAACTTCATAAAATTTTCCTACATCTCCCCAGTTTCCTACAGTGTTAAAGATAAACATTTCTGTTTGTTTTTTGTTTGTTTGTTTGTTTCTTTTTTGCTAAGCATTTTTTCCCTTCTGTTAGTTTGGTATCCTTTTTCCTGTTTAGTATTTGGTCCAGAATGCCGCTGTATCTTCAACATTCAGAAAAAGTCCATGTTGGCCGGGCGCAGTGGCTCATGCCTGTAATCCCAGCACTTTGGGAGGCCCAGGTGGATGGAGGGGTTCAAGCCAGCCTGGCCAACATGGCGAAACCACGTCTCTACTAAAAATACAAAAATTTAGCCGGGTGTGGTGGCGCGCACCTATAGTCCCAGCTACTGGGGAGGCTGAGGCAGGAGAATTGCTTGAACCCGGGATGCGGAAGTTGCTGTGAGTGACGATCTTGCCGCTGCACTCCAGCCTGGGCAACAGAGTGAGACTGTGTTTCCAAAAAAAAAAGAAAACGAAAAGAAAAAGAGACCATGTTATTTCTACCCAGAGAAAGTTGTTTGACTTCCCATTTTAACATCCCCCCTGCCATCTTGATGAACTTGACCCATCTTAGGTTTCCAGCATAGCTTGTTTCTCTTCATTTTTATTTCTACGTTGTGGCCATCAATTCTGTATTTGGTCAGAAAGCGTCTTTGTATTTTACGTATTGGATTAGAGCATCTGCTCATAATTATCTCTTGGAAGAAGAGGCAGAGAGAATGGGGAATAATAGAAGCCCATAAACACATCTAGCCAATAGTTTCAATTTCCTCCCCATTCTATCTCCTTTGCTAGAACCACTGACAGAAAAATCAGCTGCTTCTTCGTTCTGTCATTTTATTTTCCTTGTCCGTCATGTGATAGGGATGTTAATATGCAACAAACTGGCTAAAAAAAATATCAAGAGAGAAAAACAAGGGAGATGGAGCATCAGTAGTGTGTGGAGGCTCCTGAGAGCCAATTATTAAATACTGAGAGATTTTGTGAGCTAAATCATTATACATAAATTATGGATAGATTAAAATCAGCCATGGTGGGAGTGTTACACCACAGAAATTGGCAGATGCTATAAA